GTTTCCATGCCTTGTCTACCCAACTGGATTTATAAGCTTCTCCAAGAACACTTAGCAGAGTGCTTTGCAAGCTGGAGGTCCAGCATTTCTAATTGACAGGAATCTCTCTTCGGAGGCAAGCCGAGGACACTCACCTTGGGGGCGATGCGGACTCGCTTGCTGTGGCGGGCGAGCTCCGAGCTCATGAGGGAAGCCGCCAGGGGCAGCAGCACCTTCACGGAGGGCTGCAGCACCAGTGACTGATTCACTGGGAACTGGATGGGCACCAGGTACGAGCTGACCCGAGGTAGCAGCGGCTTCATCTTCCGCCCTGGAAGGGAACAGCAGCGATCAGGGGCAGGGGACCAGGGCACACCCTCCTCAATCTCAGGAGCTTTGCTCTCCTTCTCTGGGCTCAGATCCCTTTGAGCTGGGAACAGCATCCTGGCATCTGATTCCCTGAAGATACGCACCCCCCTCCAAGCAAGGGCCAGGCCTGAGGCCCACTCTGCCATACTAACGTGCGCCCAGCGGGAGTTCAGTTTTGACGGTCACGTTCCGGCGGAGCTCAGGATTGGGTCGTTTCTGCTGCTGCTTGTGGCAGATGGGGAGAGAAAGAAACCCGGGTTAATAAGGTAAGGGGGGAGGGCAGAACCCCACCAGCTGCTCTGGTACCGTGGGATTGAGCTAACCAACAGCCCAGAGAGAAAAAGCCGACCTGAGGGGGTAGATGCAGGTGAGCCAGTCTCCGAAGCTGTGGTTAGTGGGAAGGTGGACAGCATACAGACACATGATGGCAGGACAGTGCTACTGCCTCACCCAAGGGTCCTCACCACCCCCAAGGGATGCTAAAGCAGGTGGCAAAGAAAAGCCAGGTAGAAAAGTGAGCTTCATAAACGGCTGCTGCGGCGTGCTCTCTGCCATGCCCTGCTCTGCTCCGCACAACTTTGAGATGCCCGGGGGGGAGGGGAAGAAGTGGGCACATGCCCGGCAGCCTCGAGTTCACACTCCCGGGGCCTCAGGATGCTCTGCGTTTAGGGCTGGCAGCCACCCGGCCGTAGGCTCCCTTCCCCACGTCACATCTTGTCTCTGTCCACTAAAGTCATGCTCAGCAGTGAAAGGAAAACAAGGCCAAGCCCCAAGCCAGATGGAAAGAATCTTACTGATTCCAAGTGCTCGGGCAATTGTGGAGACCCTGGGTCCAGTGGCTGGTGGCGGCCAGGCATTGTGGGAGAGAAATGAGATGAAGTTACCACCAATGTGGTCAATCTGACCAGACTGGGAAGAACATCTATTCCTGACGGATGCCGAGGGACACCCCAGACAACGGTCCCTCCCAGGACAAGGGTTATAGCTACTAGCAGCATTACAGACACTCTAAAATCCCAAGACAGTACTTTCTGAAAAGATGTTCTGGTGGCTCAGCTTCTGGTTTTCAGCCTAAAGAAGGACTTTTTTAGAATAAGGTTTCCCAGATTTTCTCTGTAAGAACCACCTGAGATGCTTGTTAAAAATACGAATTCCCAGGCCCATCCCAGGCCACTGAATCAGGAGCCCCAAGAGAGGGGCCTGGAAAACTGTATTTTAACAAGTGTCCCAGGCAATTCTTATTCACAGGAAAGTTAGGGAAACGCTGCCCTGGGAAGTCCTCTCTTTGGGATCATAATGGTCCTCTCTATGCACTGGTCTAGCACAAAAGTGTGATCTTTGGTATTTGTCAATTGTACTTAATTCAGTGAGTTTTGGGCAAGTCACTAATTGGCTGGCTGGCTTCTGCCTCTCCCCTGATCAAATGAGAGCATCACAAGGAGAACTTGTTTCTTTTTAAGATGGCTACTATGACCTCCACCTCTGGCCCTATTTAGATGAAACCAGGACACTCACCTTAAACACCTGGTCCAACGTTAAGTAGCGATTGGCACTGGGGTGAATGGTCCAGAAGGAAACCTTGCCATTGGCAGACGTCTCCCGAACGAACATGTCATGGAGGGAAAGGTTGTGGCGAATGGAGTTCTGGAAGGAAAGACAACCAGTTATCAGCCGCTTTATCTTCAGAAAACCACCTTTGAAACAAACGGGAAATAAGCCTCAAGCCTCTCCCACTGTGCTCAGCACGGGCTTTGTCTGGTGTCCTTGTAACCTCGCCTGTTGGCGCCTCTCTTCCTGACACTCCACCCTGCAGAGCTGTCTGCCTCAGCCATGAGCCCATCCATTCTACGGGGTGCCATCCTTAGGGTGGTGACAAAGGGAATTGCAGGGATAGCTGTCAGGGGCTGGGAGAGGGGAGTGAGGCTGTGAAGCCGTGATCAATAGCAAGAGAGGTGGGGGAGAGAAATTAAGAAACTAGGAAATTAAAGTGACACAAGAGTATGAAGTTAAGAGTTCTACTGTGATGAAAACAAAGCAGAACAAAGCAGCCCTGGCTGGGAAGTGAGAACCTCTCATAAGACCTCCTTTGTGCTCTGACACCGACAAACTGCATGAGCTACACTGACTCCCCACACATCTCAGTGTTCCTGTGAATAAAATGAAGGGCAGATCCCTGCCCCGCTAGAAATGATATTCGACATTACAGGAGATGAATCTTGGGGCATGATGCTCACAGACAGCGTTCTTCCTTTTCTTCAAGATCTTTCCCTACAACTATCATATTATACTTAGCCACTCCAGCTGCTGGTTATCGAGGACTGCTGCTCAGTGTAGCAGGAAGGAGGGCTTGGGTGCTACACTGAAGACTCTCCATAAACCTGAAGTAGTAACAGATGAAGTGTTTACAGAGCTCTTATTAAAAATTTTGTCTGGATTAATAAGATTAGGTCACAATCCACAAGATACATTTGTTTATATTTCTAGCATCCTTTGCACTTAACTGCTGCCCTGGATACAAACTGCAGCACAGCACCAGAGACAAACTGTCAGGCCAGAGTGACCGTGACTTTGGTTGTTATGCGACTTATTACCTTCCAGCCTGGCTTGGCAATGTGCTTAAAATAGGGGAAGTGGTCCTCAATCCAAGTATAGATGTCTTTCAGGGTCATGCGCTTCCTCTCGGTGCTGTTGATGGCGAATTGTATCATGGCCATGTAAGAGTAGGGCGGCCGCTCAGACACAGAGTCCTGCCAGGACGTCGATGCTCCTGAGGCCTCCTCAACCTGAGGGTTATGAGAAGCCAAAGGGAAAGAAAAAGGAATGACATGGAGGAGTTCACAAGAACCACTCTCTTGAAGAGCTGGGCCCCTGAAGAACATTCCCGAGAGACTTTTATCCCATAGAACTGTACTAGAAACAAACTCATTGAGACCACTGTTTCAGAGAATAAAATTTTAGGATTGGGATAAATCTTGGAGATGATCTAGCCTAGACCCCAGCCAACAAGGAACTGTTTCTCTTGTCATCATTCATTTTGCTGAAGATATTATCTAATAATAAGAGAAAGGCCAGTCCCTTTTAGTTGAAACTTCTCAGGAGAGTTTGGGTATATACTTTGATTCTCAAAGCATTTATTTTATACTAAAACCATGCTGATTTTTCAGACTCCAGGGTCAAGAGACCTAGATCTTAGTACTATTTCTATTCCTGATGTGGTGTGAATAAACCCATCTCATTTCAATGTTTGTTAGAGAGAAACATTCCCAAGAGCATGGGACGGACAAATGTCTGCAAAGCATACATTTTGCTAAGTCTTAGGCAAAGATCTGGTCATTCGCATTTTTAAAAATTGAGATATAATTTTATAAAGTACACAAATTTTAAGTACACAGCTCAATTAATATTAACTTATGTACACATGCATGTAAATTTTCACTTTTAAAGGTTGTTGAATGAATGATTAACAGGTATATACAATAGAATCTAGATGTATGCTAGTGGCAACTGTGAAAAAAATAAAAACACCCAGACTACACAATTGGGTCAGATCAATCTTGATTGCTCAGTAAGTATTTAAAATTCATATCTAACTCACTTTATTTGCTATTAATGTTATATCTTCTAATAAAACTATGTTATGTTGTATTCAATTCACACTGTTGAGCAGTCTCTTTAAAGTTTAAGTAGCTTCCCAAACTAAAACCTCTTTGTTCTTTCCTAAATACCTACTAAGTACCTACTAAGAGCAGAAAAGCAAACTCAGTGCTGATGGGAATACAGAGTGAGCCAAGGGAATCTGCCCTCACGGAAATTTCACGGATGGGGGAAGAAAGATCCCAGGCAGGGGGAGGGAGGGGCAAGGGCAACATACGTAACCTGAACATCTGTACCCCCATAATATGCTGAAATAAAAAAAAAAAAAGATCCCAGGCAGAAAAGTAGCTCAAAAGTTATACAGAATAGCACGAAGTAGAATGCTAATACAAGAACTTGGAAATTCTGCCGCAGCAGGCCACTTAATCCATTTCCCATCTTAGAAATTCCCTGCACTGTCTGACTTCCCTGGTGAGTGACAGAACAGTTTACCTTAACCGGTCTCTGCTCCAGGTGACAATTCTCCTTTTCCTCCACCTCTTGCTTGATGCCACAGGATCCCAGTCCATCAGAGCTCATCTTTCCAAGCCACTGGATGTTGGTTAAGCTGTTGTCAAGAGTGCAGCCTGCTGCCTCACTGCCTGCTGGAGGGGAAACAATCCAAGGCCCCACTTAGCTCTGCGTGACCACATCCAGTAGGCCCATCAGAATTGGTGGTTAGGGATCACCCCTCCAAGACCTTACGGTCAGGAGCACATGCTGAATCTATTGTGACTCTAAGTTACTCTGCTCCATTAAACATCTCAGGAAAAATTCAGGAACACAGTTTAAATTACATTTCAATCTGAGCCACACTGAGCCTTAAAGATCAATCAAGGCAAGCTTACCAAAGAGCTATTATCTGCACAAAAAAGGTCACTTTTCCTCCCCTTGTTTCAGTCTTCAATTTTATTAAGAGGGAGAAAGGTTCCTACTTCCGTATAGGATCAGTGGAAAGGGTAAATAGGAATAATAACTCCTTTTCCAATATAAAGAAGGCAATAGAAATGCTAAATTATAACTGTAACCTTTTCAACAATAACCACAAAGTATTTAGGTCAAAGTTTCAGGGTGAAAAAAGACTTTCCCTTGCCTCAGGCTAGATGCCTGTCTGTTGCAAGCAACAGGACTAACTGCAGACCTTGCTACCTGAGAGGAAAGACTGTGCCTCTAACCCCTTTGCCTTGCAGACCACATACCACAGCTCTCCCGTCTCTGCCCCAGAAGGGTTCCAGGTGCTCTAGGAACATTCACATCCCCAGCTGCAGGTTTTGGTCCCAACATCTCAGTGATCACTTCCGTCTTCTTAGCATCATTGCTGGTTTGGGCTTGAGGCTGGAGTCCTGGAGGGTGAGTTGGGGCTCCCCCACAGCTGATGAGGATGAATTTGTTGGGCCCACTGCTGCCACTCTCTTTGCCTTTGGCAGTCAAGGCTGTGATGATGCTCTGGATATTGGCGTTGTTGGGGATGGCCACCACTTGGGTATTGGGCATGGTTGGATGGTTAATAATCTTGATCCCAGCTGGAAACTTGCAGGAGTTTGACTCTGCCACCTCCTTGGAGGCCTGTGCTTGACTAGGCTCCTGTTGGGCAGGGACTCTCTTAGGTTCCTCCTCTGATGTTTCACCTGAGGCATTTTGAACGGGAAGGGGCAGCCTCCGTCTTTTGAGAATCAGTGGCCGACGGGGGCTGGTTTTCATTATGAATCTATGTTTTTACTCTCCATTGAGAATCACAAGCATGGACCCTGCAAAGTGCAAGGAGCAGCAGGATGTCAGATTTGTTAGATTGAAAGGTGTTCCTCTTTATATGGCTAGGTGCATGAGCCCAAAGGCCCAGCTGAATGCTCCCTGAGCCTCTGAAAAGACCTCAGTCAATAAGATGAGCCCTACTGACCAAAAAAAAAGGCTAAAATTACAGCAAACAGAAGCAATTCAAAAGGGGAAAGAAAGGGGGGACCAGCAGGGTGGCTCACGCCTATAATCCTTGCTTGCGCTCTGAGAGGCCTAGGCAGGAGGATTGCTTTAGGCCCAGAGTTCAAGATCCAGCCTGGGCATCTACAAAACATAAGAAAATATTAGCTGGGCATGGGGGCATGCGCCTGCAGTCCGAGCTACTCAGGAGGCTGAGGCAGAAGGATGACATGAGCCTAGGAGTTGGAGGCTGCAGTGTGCTATGATTGTGCCACTGCACTCTGGCCTGGGCAACAGAGCAAGACCCTGTCTCAAAACAGTATATTTTCTGTCACAATTTGCAATATATTTATATAATGCCATTTTAGTACTTGCATGTGGTTATACATATTTTACTTTCTAAGCATGCTTTGTTGATTTTAATAGATACATGGAACACGACTACTAAATAAAATTGTATAATCCTATTTTGAGGTACTTTGAGATACAGAGGAATTGGCTATTTCTTTTTTAGGATACCTACTACCTCCCCCAAAATGACG